GCGAGCTCCCTCTCCTTGGCCGCGGCCTCTGCCTCGGCACGACGGGCGGCTTCCCGGGCTTGGGACAAGGCGGCATCGGCTTTTACCTTGGCCTCTTTCAGACCAGCCTCCCTAGCGGCCTCAGCCTGCAGCACCAGAAGTTCAGACTGGACAAGGAAAGGAGTCAGAACACATAATCAAAAGAGGAACAGAGAATGGGAGATGTACCCAGATCTAGTATAGAGGAAATACCTGAAGAGCAGCTGCCAGAGCAGCGCTGGTCGCCTCAGAAGACGAACGGGGGGGGGGGGGGGGCAGCTCAAGACCGGCTTTGAGGGCCATCTCCCTCCAAAGTTCCTCCCGGCGGCTCAAGGGCAGGGAGCCGACGTCTTCAAGCAGAGGGCCAGTGGAGGCTGCCTCACGGCCCCTCTTTTGTTTCTTTTCTGGGGCCTTCTCTACCCCCTTCTGAGAAGCCGCCTTCGTGGAGACGACCGACGGTGGAAGGGCAGCATCAAGAGCTGGGGCCCCGGACCCTTGGGCCAGCACGGTGGCAATCAAGTGCTGCTCACCCTCAGCCGTTTGCCGGGCGGCATCGGAGGCCGAAGAGTTGGAGTCCGAGGCAGGAGCGTTCTTGGCTTTCGCCAACGCGGCCTTAGCAGCCGCCGCCTTGGCCTTCCTGGTCTTCAAGCATTCAGCATGATTCATCTGGGCTTCGTCTGGTGGAGAACCTGCATGAAACGATAAAGGGTTAAGAGACGAGCGGAGAATGTGACAAGACACTCACCTCGAAGGACAAGACCGCCCGATGCCCCGAGACGAGCGTCGAAGGGTGGAAAAAGTCCAGGGACGCGGGCGGTGCCTATGCCTGCCCCGGAGAGTGCCTCGAAGGTCAGGTAGCCGGCAATAGGGCAGATGCCGCCCTGCAACACCTTCTCCACGTCCCCGCTCAGATCGTCGGTCAGCTCCGGTGACTCAATCTTGGGGGGATAGCCGTTCCACTGAACCGGGAGAGGAGGGCCGTCATATCGAAGGAAGAAGAAACGATTCTTCCAATCGTGGATAGACGAAGGATAGCTCTTGAACAGCCTCCTTCCTGGACGTGCGGCCACGCTCAGGTAACCATCGGAGTTCTGGGGAGTGATGCGGTAGAAGTAGTGGAACAGGTCCAAAGTGGCAGTGGCTCCCGCAAGTTTGCAGCGCACCAGGAAGGCTGATATAAACCTATAGGAGTTTGGCATGACCTGCGCCGGGGCCACCTGGAAGCAGTGGAAGAACTCCACATAGAATGAATGGAGTGGAAACCGCAGCCCGGCTTCAACGGAGTCCAAGTGGAGCATAATCATCCCCGGACGTCTCCTCATCACATGCTCAGCGCCTCTCATGCTCCAAACGAACGGCGGGGGGGGGGGGGGGGGGGGGAGAAAGTGCGGATTTTGTTGAGAGCCACACGGGAAAGGACTTGATTGTGATCGAGGGCGCTCCTGATCGGACAAATGTGGCGCTCCATATCCATAGGGATGCCCAGATCATGCACCTCCATGTCAGAGCCGGATTCGGCCTCTTCCCACAGAATCATAGTCAGCAGGGCGCTCATTAAGGGGGACTGCATTAATAACGTCCATCGCCCCGTCAACGTTTCCGTTGCCAGCGTTGCTCCCGCTACCTTGGGGAGCGTTATCAGGCGCACCACCGGCCTGGATAGTCCCCACAGTCGAGGCCGAACCCGAACTCCCTGAGACGCTAGCCTTTCCGGGGGAGCGTGAACCGGAATCGGAGGAGGAGCCCGAGGAAGAACCCGACGAACCGGAGCTAGAACTCGACGAAATCTCCATCGAGGTCATCTTGGCGAGAATTCAAGACAGATAAAAGAAGCAGAGGAGGAAAATTACCTTACGGGGAGATTAGCGGAACTTGGAAGCGGGGGAGAGAACTCGAGGAGCAGCGGAGATTCTAGAGCAAGGGAGCAAAAGTTGGGAACCCTAGTCCAGAGGGAAAACCCGGCATTTATAGGGGAAGCACCGATGGGGGAACCAACGAGGGGTTGACACGTAGCAAGGAGCGTATTCCGGCTCACGCGCTGTGCGTGGGGTAGAAGCGTAATGATGACATTTCCTCGGAAAATGCACCGTCGCAATAGCAGCCGTCACCTCGGTTCCTGAGCCATCGACAGCTGTTAAGCACCATGACCACGAGCGTACGCTTTCACCGGATGCAACAAACACAAGTATCAGGTCACGAGCGTCTTATCCTCAAGGGAGATCATACTTCCTTATGTCCTGTGCATGCTCAGAACATCAGAAGTGGGGGACTTGTGTTGGGTTAATGGCCCAAGTTGAGGTTCAGCCCATTTACCCTTTCTTCCAGACGTACGTCCAGCTAGAACACTAAGCTAGCCTGGCAAGCCCATGTTCCTCCAGGAGGGACGAACGTCTGCAATTGGGGTTTAGGCTCAACGGCCCATCTCGACGAACGTCTATGCAGGGACAAGGAGCAGGGCCACGGGTCACCAGAATAACGACGAACGTCGTCAGAGCAAGCCCATGGCCATCGGAGGCAGTCCAGTCCACATGGCGAGAATCCACAAAGGCCAGGGGACGAACGGCCAATACCCCTTGGAGGCCACCTGGAGCAATTCAGCTCGCTCCCCGGGCGGACGAACGTCCCCACTAATTAGGCGGGAAACCTAGATTCTGGCGGGAAGTGCATTTAATGCTGAAGATTTGGTGCTTGGGACACCAGCGAACCACAGGCTTCCACGTCAGTATAGCCACCTGCCCATTGGTGGGTATAAATAGAAGCATTTATTTCATTGTAAAGGGTTGTCAACTTTCTATTCTTAGCACTCTAGCTATAGCATTCTTACCCGCAGCACTTCTACTGCCTTGTAAGACGATCGGCCGACGAGCCTTAGTGAGAAGTATTGTATTAGGGAGTTATTAGGAGATAATAATACCTAATCACTTACTTGCTGCCCACTGTTCTCCTTGATCCATATTACTTGCTAGTTGGGCTAGATATTCATACACACTCCACTCGAAATCCTTGGGCTTACGTGTTGGACCCGAGGGTTGAAGGAATAAACCTCAACAGAAAAGTATACTTTGAATATTGCTTTATAAGCTATAAATGAAAATTTTGAGGTATTAACAGCTCAAATAAAGAGCAGCATTTTAATGAGGATATTATATATCTTGAAATATATTAAAGTGACTAATTTGTACAAAATGGAATATAATGAACTAGCTACTTCGAATGTAACGGCATTATGTCTTGAAATAGCTAATCGGATCAATGTTGTATTACTATTGTTCCTAATATATACGGAGTAAATGTTAACACGGTACTATAACTCTCTTAAAAAACATGCTATTATAACTAAAATGGAAATTAGTTGTGATTTATATTTTGTTAAGAATTCAATTAAAGAGTTGACTTTCTCTTATATCATTGAATAGCTAATTGGAACCAAAAGGATTTTTCTGAGATTTATATTCAACACAAATTATATTTGTCATGTACAAGTAATTTGTAATTGTTGATTTATTATGTCTTATTCGTTATTGATAATGTATTGAGAAAGAATGAACACCATTAAGCAAAATTTGCTTAGCGCGTTGAATTTTGTCATTCGCATAGATACATAGTCGATACCAGGCAAAGTTCAAGAAAGAAAGCATTTGGGAACAACCTGCAATCAGCACAGAGTAACATACACTTGCATTTAGTAATATTTCATTTTTAGTTTACATAATAAATATGTATATATTATACAATATAATGTAGTAAATAAAAACAACACTAAACATTTAAGTGTTATGTATAAGATATGGATGCTTCCGCAATTATGAACTTTTATAAAATTACTATCATTATAATTAGCTTATTTAAAAAAGAATTGAATAGTTAGTCAACGCTTTGATGCTCCGACATTGCGGATAGCGCTCCCTGCTCTAGCCTTCCGGGCGGAGTAGGGGGGTTACGTATTATTAGGTGTTTCAAGCCATCAACTTCTAAAGCATCAAACAACCGGACATCATCTTCACTATCTTCTACATTTGGAAGATTTTACATAAAAATTGGATTATTCTGAATCAATGATGCTGTTAAAGCAATCGGTTTGGATGTTGATGTAAAATCTAACGGTTTCCTTAATATTCTCATGTTTGATACAATTGCTTTTCCTTACTATTTAATTCCTCTTCTATTTCTGAAGCTTTGTTGGCAAGTTTTGGCAATTCTCTAACTTAATACGGAGTAATTAAGTCAATTTTTTGACTAAATGATTAAAACATTTTTTTAATTAAGTTATGAATAAATAAAGGGAAAAGGTGCAAATAGGCCCATGTACTAACAAAAAAAGTCAAATAAGCCCTTATTTAGGAGGTTCTGTCCGGACGTCGTCATTTAGGGTGGTTCCCGGTGGAATTTTTTGATGAAATTTTTTGATCATCTTATTCATCAAGTCTAGTTTACTCATACCAAATTTCAGCAAAAACTTCAATCGGGAAGGCATTCAAATTGTTATGAAATTTACTTATCTATTTTTAAATTACATTCATCATTTTAGTTTAGTTATTTAACTATTTAAAATTATGTTTCATTTTAACCGATTCTATTGGGCTTCTTTAGCGAATGTCTTGTTTTGTTTTATTTACTAAAATTTGCAGTTTTTTTATGTACTCCGTATTTATGTTTTGAACTCAACTTTTGAGGTTTGAAATGATGTTCAACATATTTGTATTGTAATTTCAAACGTTGAATGTCTTTTGAGCACAAATTTAACCGTAATTTGTAAGATTTTTTTTAAAGACTAGGAACCGTTAAATGACAAGCACTGATCCGTTAAGAAAGGTTCGGTTCCTTACTGGTTCTATAAGATAATTTATAAGAACCGAACCGTTAATAAAATTTCATATTTTCAAACACTTAAACATATTTTGCCTAGAACCACCTAAAAGAAATAAACAGGCTGACTGAGTTAAGCAAAACTAAACAGGCCCAGCAGGCCTAGTGTGGTTCCCATTGTGTCGAAGATACTTGGTCTACGAGGTAAGAGAAAATACATCATGAACATTGATTGAGCTCAATCAAATGAGGGAATTCCGTTGATGAACATGACCAAACTTGCCCACAAATGTACAAAACTAAACTAAAATTACGGAGTGGGAAGATAAAAGACAAAAAGTAAGCTTGTTTGTAAGGTGCAGTGATGCAGCAGCAAAACGAACAATGCCATGGGTTCATATCGAGGAGAGGGTAGATTGAAAAATTGAAGAACCCTCCTTCACATCTGGCAGTCCGGAGCAGAGTTCTGCTTTTCCAAATCCAAACCATATCCGGTGAGCTTCGTGAGAAATGAGGCTCTGCGAAACTTTGGCTGTTTTGGGACGGAGGATTTCATCTGTAGATTCAAAGAGAGCGAATCCTAATATCTAAGAGCAAAATGCGAAGGTCAGGGGTTCAATTTTCCATCAGCTATTGAATCAAGTTAGCTGTGATTTATCTTCTTTCTATTCCACACACACATGGTCACGCAGAGGCAGATTTACATCTTTCTAGATGTGACATTTTTCTAGTAGTTATGTGAAGTGTCATTTTTTTCCAAAACATACTTGGCTAGATTCTAGCCATTTAGCAGTGCTCTTGTATCTATTAAAAAAGGAGTCTGTGTCACTACGTTGTCTCTTATACTTTATTTGGAAAAATATTTTATAAAATTTATTTTATAGGCATGTGGACTGCAATTGAGGACACCTAAAGGTAAGTAAACCAGTATGTTGTTCCCAAAAGAAGGTTTATGTAATGATGGATTCGAGGGTTCTACCAATGAGCACCAGATTTTCAGGGAAGTATTCTTCGGGACTGAGGAATACAAAAAGAGGTGCCTCATTACTGGAGTTATCAATTTTGAATGTGACAGTGAAAGTTCAGCATTAATGGTGCATGATAATTCATATGGTACCATAGTGGATTCTGGTGGGGAAGGGAAAGAGAGGAGAGTACATTCTAACATCCAGTGCTATATGGAAAGAGGTTTGAACTCCGCAGCATCCTTGTATAATGACTCTCACATTCTGACTTTTCATGTGGTTGAGACAACTAACCAGGGCATCACCTCTTGTTCTTATCTGCAAAAGGGGCATGGTGAGCTTGACAGAGGACATGAAATGTGTGAAGGTGGTTCCTTAAAACTAAACTCACGTAATTTGAATGTAAATGATGGGAAAGATGGTTGTCAAATAATACCATCACCCACTTCTCAAGAGAGCAGTGTGACCAAGTTGTTGGTAAGCATTTCCCCACCTGTTACTGCAAAGAACTCAAGGGATGTTCGAATAGCGAAGTCAAAGTGGAAGGATTCCTGCTTTGTGGAGCTAGATGAATCAGAGTTGTTGGTGGTTAAAGACGCTCCAAATGATCCTCGTCCTATTCTACGCTACCATATCAATCGCTTACTAAGAGCAGCAGGATGGGTAATTGGGAGGCGTAAAAGGAGTAATAAATACAATGGCATCGGGGAATATGTTTATAGGTCGCCTGAAGGAAGACCTATTCGGGAATTTCGTCGAGCATGGCTATTTTGTGGTAAGAGTTTAGTTGCTGAGGAAAACAGTGTCATACATGATGGGGAGCGTAAGGTGTGGGCTGACTTGGATCAGTTTAGGGCAGACCTAAGTAGTACTTTGGCAGAGATAGAAGAAAATTTGATTAACTTGGAAAGCATATCATCATTGGCTTCTCTGTGGTGCCTTCTTGATCCATTTGCAAATGCAGTATTCATTGACAAGATATTACACTTTCTTAAACAAGGAAAAACTGTCATACCAAACAAAACATTTGCTTGGTATGTAGAAAACCAGCTAAATGAGAGAAGCTTGAGTGATCAATCTATAGACAAGGAGTTATGTTTAAATAGAAGCTCGCTGAACCTCAAACAGTCACAAATAAAGGAAGGCAAGTGCGTTAACAGTCTATCCTCTACTAAAAGTTCTTTCAATGAGCCGCCTCATAAATATAGGAAAGTCTCAGGCAGTGAGAGTGGCATTTTAGATCAAAGTTCCTTTCCATCTTATGGATCTGATAGTACCTCTGAGCTAGATGGTAGTTGCTTGTTTGAAGTTCCTGTCAGTTTGGAAAAAAGACCAACATCGATGAGAACTTATGAGGAAGTTTATAATTATCAAGATTGCAGCACAAGCTCCCTCATATGTAATGAGAAAGAAGTAAAAAATTTTGATGTAAAAATTTCAATCCAGCCAAATTATTTGTTGCAGGATTCTCTATTATTTGATTCGAACCAAGATCTGATGGATATTAAATGTATTGAAGCAAAGACCGAGGGTTTATTTTGTGTTGCGAGCTCTATGCCTAGAAAGAAAGCCCAAAAGAAATTAAAAAAGATATCTGAAATGAAACTTTCAAATTTGTATCAACCTGAGAAATTGGCATCTAATGCAAATGGATCCTTTGAAATCAATGGAAAGGGAACCTACAACAGAGTTCGACCGATGAAATATAAAAAATTTCATCCTGAGGATGACGATCTTCTAGTTTCAGCCATCGTTAAAAATAAAGCGTTCAAATATGCAAAAAAGAGGCCCCGTGGTAAATCCAAGTCTTTGAGGAAGACGAAGAGCCATAAGGGAAGATGCAAGTTGCTCTTACGTAGCCAAAATAGGGGTGGAAAGAACTTCATTGAGGGCAAGTGGCCTGCCTTTGCTTCAAGAACAGTTTTATGCTGGTTGATTCATTCTCGGGTTGTTTTTCTCAATGAAGTGATCCAATATAGAAATGTCAAGGATGGTTCTGTGCTGAAAGATGGCTTTATCACTAAAAACGGGATACTGTGCAAGTGTTGTGATGAAGTACTATCAATCTCGACTTTCAAAAATCATGCCGGTTACAAACCGAATCTCAGCCAACCTTGTCTGAATCTTTTTTTAGAGTCTGGAAAACCATTTACATTATGCCAGCTTGAGGCTTGGTCATTTGAATACAAAGCTAAGAAAGCTCCTTCCCGAACAATGCACGCTGATGAAGTGGATCAAAATGATGATAGCTGTGGGCGCTGTGGTGATGGTGGCGAGCTGATATGTTGTGATAATTGTCCGTCTACATTTCATCAGGCATGCTTGTATGCACAGGTTACTTATCCTACCTAATACTTTTAATCAAATCCACTAGCTTTGTTTTACACTTTCTTTACTTCGTAGTTTGTATAATAAAATCATCTCAGCCAAGCCCCAAGTAACTTAGTAACCCCTACTTTTATTTTCTAGGGGTGGGTTCGATTGAAAGGGGTCCGTTTTGATCACGAACTGAACCAAACTAGAATATTCAGTTCGGTTCTGTTTTTGTTTTACAACGTTGAACCGTGGTTGATTGTTTTCTTCTTCTGTTTTTTCAATTCATATTAAAATAATAATTAGTCGTTCAGAATCTTAGCCTTTAATGAAGTGGTGGAGAAAAATGTTGTGCTCATATGATTTAAGTATTCTTTGTTTATAATCTATCATTTTTTTTATCTTTTTATATGTAGTCAAGTTTGTGCAAGTCGCTCTACTGTTTAACTCAGAGTTTCATTAACATAATTTTTCCAGTAATCTTTAAAATAATAAAGGAACTAAAAGAATATTTATCATAACAATAATTAAATAAGGTAATTCGGGTATATTTTGAAAAATGGTTTTGATGGATATATAATATAATGGAGTCATTGATGATAATCGTTATGTTATAGATGTATTATTTTAATATTTGATGATTAAATTGTCATTTAAGAGTGCTAGCTATTTCCTAAAATAGAAACAGGAACCTTTAGTTAGGGAAGTCCAGCTGGGACGGAGGGAGTACTTATCTATCTTTCGGGTTAAAAATATAGCTCTTTTTATGTACTTAAGCTTCTTCATTAAAATTATATAATCGGGACATTTTGTGGTCTACAATTAAATACTATTTATGCAACTCTATGGTTAAAAATTAATTTGTGCAAACAATATCGTTTTACTAGTTAGGTTCGGTTTTTCGGGAAATAAAACACAACCTATGAAGCACGGTAACTTCCTATGGCTCCCATTTTCCCGTTTCGGAAACTCAGAACCTTGTCTGGAACTTCAAATATCCGTTTCAGGGCTGTGTTGTAACTAAAAAGGTTTTTGGGAAACCCATTACCCTAAAACTTTGTGTTTCCAGTTTGTTTTACTTTGATGGGATTCGTTGGTGGAAAATACTGTATTTTTTTAAAAAATTATTTTTTAACGGGATTTCTCTCAAGCAGCATCTTGATACTATCTCCGTCCTTCTAAGATTGGTACAAGAGGAGGTGGTGCCGTTATCGAGAAAAGTGAGTTTATGTGGTTGATAATGAATTGATAAAGTAATAAATAAAATAAGAACGATTTAGAGCCACACAAACATTACTAAATTTGGTATGAGACAATTTTAGTGGCACGAAGCAAAAAGGAAAGATTTTGGGACAATATTAGCAAGGACGGAGGGACTAGGGAGTATATATGTATTTCATAACGTAATACATGGTTACAAGTGTATTGCATTTTATATTTAAGGGAAAACTGTCAAATAGGTCCTTGAACTTTCATAAAAAGATCAATTAAGTCCTTCTATAGGAGGTTCTGTCCGGCCGTCGCAATTTGGGGCAGTTCCTGGTGGAATTTTTTGATGAAATTTTTTGAGCATCTTATTCACCAAGTCTAGTTTACTCATACCAAATTTCAGCTAAAAATTCAACCGGGAACACATTCAAATTAATTCTTGAAGATAACTGCGCATTTTTGCGTTCTCGAAATAATTTGAATGCGCTCGCGATTAAATTTTTAGCTGAAATTTGGTATGAGTAAACTAGACTTGATGAATAAGATGCTCAAAAAAATTCATCAAAAAATTCCACCGGGAACCGTCTCAAATCGCGAAGACCGGACAACGTCTCCTATAGAAGGACATAATTGACTTTTTTATGAAAGTCCGAGGACCTATTTGACACTTTTCCCTATATTTAATTATGTACTGATATGTAATAATTTCTAAATTTGAACATGTTGAATGTATTTATTAATGGTTACCAATTAAAGTCATGTGAAAAATTCTATGCATATATTCTCTCCGTATTTAGTTGTTCTCTACATTAGGTTTGGGCACAAAGTTTTAGGATAAAATAGTAGGGCTAATGAATGGTGTAGAAAAAGTAGGAGGGTGTGTGTAAAAGTATGAAAGAGAAGATAAAAGTGGAAAAAGTAAGGGTAGTTGAGTATTTTTAAAGGAAAAAACTTACCAAAAAGGGAAAGTGTAGCAAACTTTTAAATACATCCCAAAAAGGAAAGTGTAGCAAACTTTAGAATACGGAGGGAGTATATAAATGAAAAGACTGGTATACAACAACACGAACAACAACTTTCAAGCCTTAGTCCCAAAAGAGTTTGAGGTCGGCTAACATGAATCGACATATGAAATCGGAGTTAGAAAAATTAAATAGAGAAAAGGGAGACTAACAAAAACAAATCAATCCCCCACCTTCGCTCTCTTCATAATGATACTCTCATATCACCCCAAGAAGTACCATATCATACATGACCACTCTTCTGTTTGGGTTTTTCCTCTCCCTTCCCTTACCTCCCAACTAATCTAACAAATGCATCACTCAGTCTTCTACACACATGACCAAATCACCGCAACCGAGACTCTCATATTTTATCCTCAATGGGTGCTACTCCCGCAATCCCTTTTTTTGTGTCCTCAAGTGGTCTTTTATAGTATGTCCACACATCTAATGCAAAATGTGCATCTTAGTCGCACTCATTTTTTGAATGTTACATTGTTTCACCACCAAGCACCCTGCGTCATACAATAATTCAAGCCCAATTTGCTATCCGATAAAACATATCCTTCAATCTAGTTGGTAAACCTCAATCAAATAGAAATGTTGATGCACTCTTCCATTTATTCCACTTTGTTTTGATTCTTCGTGATACATCTCCATCTAGTTCATCGTCCTTTTAGATTATGAAGCTTAGGTAACAGAACATATCACTGATTGAGATCCCTTTACTATCTAAGAGAATCTGATTGCTATCATTATTTGTACCTCCTCTAAACTTGCACTCCATATACCCAGTTTTGAGTTTTGCTTTGACTCAGCTTCAAACCATTGTTCTTTAGAGTTTGTCCCATACTTCCAACTTCTCTTTAACACCCAATCTTGTCTTATCAATCAACACCATATCATTGATGAACATCATGGATCATGCACCATGGCATTTCTTCTTTAATTGACTTTGTGAGTTCATTCATGACTAAAACAAATAAGAAAGGAATCAGAGCCGATCCTTAGTGCACTTCAAGAGTAATAGATAACTATGCAGTCCTCCTTACACTCGTTCGGACATGTGTGGTACAATCTTCACGCATATTTATGATGATGTGTATATACTTACATGATTATCCTTTTATAGTTAGCCCAACAAATGACTTTTCGAGATACCCTATCGTACGCCTCGCCTTTTCTATGTTAATGAACAATAAACGCAGGTCCTTGTTCGTATCTTTATACATCTCCACAAGTTTCCTAAGAAGGTGAATGACCTCAGTTGTTGAGCAACCAAGTATTCTCCGAAATCTTCACACTTCATCGGCGTCTTTACTCAATTATTCGTTCCCAAAGTTTCATCATGGATCATGCACCATGGCATTTCTTCTTTAATTGACTTTGTGAGTTCATTCATGACTAAAACAAATAAGAAAGGAATCAGAGCCGATCCTTAGTGCACTTCAAGAGTAATAGATAACTATGCAGTCCTCCTTACACTCGTTCGGACATGTGTGGTACAATCTTCACGCATATTTATGATGATGTGTATATACTTACATGATTATCCTTTTATAGTTAGCCCAACAAATGACTTTTCGAGATACCCTATCGTACGCCTCGCCTTTTCTATGTTAATGAACAATAAACGCAGGTCCTTGTTCGTATCTTTATACATCTCCACAAGTTTCCTAAGAAGGTGAATGACCTCAGTTGTTGAGCAACCAAGTATTCTCCGAAATCTTCACACTTCATCGGCGTCTTTACTCAATTATTCGTTCCCAAAGTTTCATGGTGTGACTCATAAGTTTAACCCCTTGACAGTTGACTCAATTATTCTTTAATTAGGGGATAAGAGTACTCTTCCACCATTCGAAGCGATTTTTATCTAGGGTCATTCGAAAACAATCTCTCTATGCTTTACTACATGTGTAAGACTGCGTACATCTGACCCCCTTACCCCACCATAAGTGAGAGCCTTTGTGACACTGTGGTAATGTTGTTGTTGTTGTTGTTGTATATTTATTAGATATAAGGAGAAAAGATACAAAGTGAAGGAAGCGTGCAAATTTGGTTAACAATAAATATAAATGTGGGTGCTTTTTTAATTATTTTGATTTAATATAATTATATGTTTTACTGAAGGGAGCCTTGGCGTACCGGTTAAAGTGTTGTTGTGTGACTGATAGTTCAACCTGCAGTCTCTTGTCAAAAATTGACAAGGGAAGACTCCCCCCTATACAACCTTGTGGTGGGACCATTTCTCCTTGTGGGGACGCAAAGGTGTACTGGGCTGCCCTTTTTATTATAAATATATGTTTACCATAGAAGCCAAAGTAGGTATACCGTATACTTAATGTGGGAATGAAGAATAGTATGCAAAACGTTATGTATATGCATAAATGGTAAAGAACTCTTGGTGTGATGTTTTAATTTTTATTAACACAAAATACACAACTTGTGGAAAACTGCTAGTTGGCAATCCAATATGGAAGTTGTTGAGAGATATTTTAGGCAGGAAATAGTTGAAGAAAATATGTTTTAAATAATTCCCGATTTTCAGGGATTGTAGATATCTTTCCCTGATTTCCAGATTTGTAAATATCTTTTCCCTATTCTGCCTCCTTGTAAGTTCTATAAATACTTAGCCATGTAATTATTTAGAAGAATCAATATGCATAATTCTCTTCCTTCCTGATTCACGTCATGGTATCAGAGCCCTAGGGCTACAAAACAGCCTTTATCGCTGCCATTCTACGCCACAAAACAGCCTTCATTGTTGCTTCTTTTTCTTTTCATTTAACCATGGTTGATTCTGAATCTGAACTCAAGATTGAGGAGGTTGTTCCTGTTCAGAAATCTGGAGAGTTGCAGGGTATTAGAGCCTCTTATCGTCTCAATGGGAAAAACTATCTCAAGTGGTCACAAGTCGTCCGCACATACCTCAAAGGTAAGGGAAAAATTAGCCATCTCTTGGGGACTGGACCAGGAAAATCAGATCCTGGTTTCATCACATGGGATCAAGAGGACTCAATGATTATGTCATGGCTATGGGATTCCATGGAACCAGCCATTAGCGATACTTGTATGTTTCTAACCAGTGCAAAGGAAATATGGGATTGCATTCAATGCACCTACTCAAAGGCACGTGATGCAGCCCAAGTGTATGAGATAAAGATTAAGACGAGTGGAATAAAACAAGGAGACATGTCTGTCACAACATATGCCAATCTGCTGCAAACCATTTGGCAGGAATTAGATCACTATCGAGTGTTCGAGATGAAGTGCTCAGAAGATGCAGCAATCCTCAAGAAGTACATTGAAGCTGATCGAGTATATGATTTTTTGGCTGGTTTGAATCCTGAATTTGATCAGATTCGGCAACAAATACTTGGCAAGGAGGAGGTTCCTTCATTGGAAGGGACTATCTCGATTGTTCGTGGAGAGGAGAGTCAGAGGAATGTAATGCTAGAAAAGCCGAGTGCTATGGAGGGATCTGCTCTTGTGACAAGATGGGAACATCAAAACAAGAACATGGATGGCCAACCGAGGAGTGTAGGAACGGAAAACTCAAGAAAGGAAAATAGAGATACGTTATGGTGCACTTACTGCAAGAAGCCGAGACATACCAGAGAAAATTGTTGGAAGCTGAATGGAAAACCTCCGAGCAGCGAGTGGGGAACTAGTGGGAGATAGCAAAGACCTCAAACTCATCTCACGGAACAACTGAAAGTTGAAGAGAAACCTGACAGCAAAGGCGATGAGATAAGGTTCAAAGAGGATGAGATTGAAAAGTTACGAAGTCTATTGAGCTCTCTTGAAAAACCATCTGGGGCTAGTTCTTTGGTTCTCACAGGTAAATCAGTGACCTCTTGTGGCTTGCACACATCTGGAATTGATGATTACACACGTGTAACGTGGTTGTTTCAGGGGCTCGGTGGTTTGTTTCATTAATTGATGATTGCACACGTGTAACGTGGTTGTTTTTAATGAAACAAAAATCTGATGTCAGTAATATCATTCCCAGCTTTCATTTCATGATCCAAAATCAATATGGGGTAAAAATAAAAACCTTTAGGTCAGACAATGCTAAGGATTATTTCAATCAGGTTTTATCACCTTATTTTCAAAAAGAAGGGATTATTCACACTTCTTCCTGTGTGGAAACACCTCAACAAAATGGAATAACTGAGAGGAAAAATGGGCATCTATTGAATGTTACTAGAGCCTTGTTGTTTCATGGGAATATGCCTAAATCTTACTGAGGGAAAGCCGTTTTAACAGCCACACACTTGATAAAAGACTACCCTCACATGTTCTTAACAACAAAAGTCCTATGGACATCCTAAAAACCCATTATCCTCACTTCCGAACCACAAATGGTCTCATTCCTAGAATATTTGGATGCACAGCCTTTGTACATGTCCACCGACCAAATAGAGGAAAACTAGATCCCCGTGCAATAAAATGTGTCTTTATTGGCTATTCATCCACTCAAAAGGGGTACAAGTGCTATCACCCTGCATCACGAAAAATTATATATCTTGGCTGATGTCACCTTTTTTGAAAACAAATCTTATTTCCCTAAATCCCATCTTCAGGGGGAGACAACTAATCTTGAAGATGGTACATGTTCCGAGTCACTACTTGAGTCTTTTGAACCACTTGATCTTCCACACTCAGTCACTAGTCCGGTCAACTCACAGTGTTCTGCCCAAGATTCCGATTCTCCTCCCACCACTGAAACTGACCATACTTGTCAACCCCAAGAGTCTATGAGTTCTGGTGATGTTAATGATGTTCATACAAAGGATCTTCAGGTGTATAAGAGAAGGGCAAAAGCGTCGAACTCGACACAAGTCCAAGAGACCAACCCGAGTCCTGAGAATGCAGACGTAGTGAGTACGGATTCACCTCTAAACATTGAAACAGTTGCAACCTCGGTTGATAATGACTCCCATTTGCCCATTGCTGTCAGAAAGCAATCCAGAGAATGTACCAAGAAGCCCCTATATCCTCTTTCCCATTATGTCTCAACTAAACGCCTATCACCATCCCACCAGAAATTTATAGCCAGTCTAAATACAATCTCCATACCAAATACCCTTTCTGAGGCTTTATTGAAGGACGAGTGGAGAAATGCTATGAGAGAGGAATTAGAGGCACTGGAAAAAAAACGTACATGGGAGATGGTGGAAAAGCCAAGAGGGAAAAACATAGTTGATTGCAAATGGGTCTTTGCATTAAAGTACAATGCTGATGGATCACTCGAAAGATATAAAGCAAGATTGGTGGCAAAAGGGTATACTCAGACCTATGGGGTGGATTATCAGGAAACATTCGCTCCAGTGGCAAAAATGAATACTGTGAGGATTTTACTGTCATTAGCAGCCCATTACGATTGGCCATTGCTGCAATACAATGTAAAAAATGCTTTCCTACATGGAGACTTGGATGAGGAAATTTATATGAAGATCCCACCCGGATTCGAAGTGAATAAAACTAGTGATAAGGTTTGCAAACTCAAGAAGGCTTTATATGGGCTGAAACAGTCCCCTAGAGCATGGTTCGGAAGATTTGCTAAAGTATTGAAAGATTCAGGTTATAAGCAAAGTCAAGGAGACCACACGCTGTTCTTCAAACACTCGGCCTCAGGGGGAGTAACTGCCCTGCTTGTGTATGTTGATGATATAATTGTAACCGGAAATGATGAAAAAGAGAAAAGAGGCCTAAAAAGGAGGCTGATTCAAGAGTTTGAGATAAAGGAGCTTGGGAAACTGAAGTACTTTCTGGGGATTGAGGTGGCATACTCTAGACAAGGCATCTTTGTGTCTCAACGTAAGTATGCGGCTGATTTATTAATAGAGACTGGAAAGGCTGCTGGTAAACCGGCTGCCACTCCTGTGGACTCAAACCAGAAATTAAGTGAAGCGAAAGAGGAGCAACCAGTTGACAAAGGGATGTATCAAAGGCTAGTTGGAAGACTCATATATCTTACACACACTCGGCCAGACATAGCTTTATTCTGTGAGTGTGATCAGTCAGTTTATGCACGACCTGAGGGAGTCTCATCTACAAGCAGCACATAGAGTACTGCATTACTTAAAAGCCAATCCTGGATAAGGAATCTTGTACAAAAAGAATTCCTTATTGAAGCTAGAGGCATACACAGATTCGGATTATGCAGGTTCAATCGTGGATAGAAGATCGACAACTGGCTATTGTACGTTTCTGGGTGGTAACTTGATAACTTGGAGAAGCTGTGGCAAGATCATCTGCAGAAGCTGAATTTCGGGCTGCTGCTCAGGGTGTGTGTGAATTACTTTGGCTGAAGATTATTTTAAAAGACTTGAGGGTCAAGTGGGAGGAACCTATGAATTTCTATTGTGATAATAAATCAGCAATCAACATTGCTCATAATCCTATTCAACGTGATAGGACAAAACACATTGAGATCGATAGACACTTCATCAAGGAGAAGTTGGAAGAAGGAATCATTTGTATGTCCTACGTTCCCTCGAGAGATCAATTAGCTGATGTGTTGACGAAAGGATTAAATGGTCCTATTTTTCATTCCTAGATTGTATCCAAGCTGGGAATGGATGACATTCATTCCTCAGCTTGAGGGGGAGTGTTGAGAGATATTTTAGGCAGGAAATAGTTGAAGAAAATATGTTTTAAATAATTCCTGATTTTCAGGGATTGTAGATATCTTTCCCTGATTTCCAGAGATTTGTAAATATCTTTTCCCTATTCTGCCTCCTTGTAAGTTCTATATACATAATTCTCTTCCTTCCCTGATTCACGTCAGAAGTATTTCTCTTCAATAGAACCTTTAGGGGGGTGAATTTATTCTAGGAAAAGATGATTTTGAAGATTTACTAGTGGTTGATCTTTCCACCTCAATTTCAAAGATTTACTCTTGGTTGATCTTTCCACCTCAATAATGTCTACTTTGAAGTTTGAATATGTTGAGACCATTAACAAACCACATTTAAGAATGAGTAAACTTTTCAGAATTACTTCACCAAAGTTGGACGTAAAAATTTAGTGAAAATCTGTACTGAAGCTAGGACAGGTTCAATTTAAAGGTCTAGAAAACAGCATTCTCTTTGGATCTCATTTCCATAGTTCTTAAATTTTGAAACGTAGATGTGATGTCAAGCCTCCCTATTTAATCTTCTTTTCAACATTTGGTGTGAAATTCATTTAATTTTGTTGATTTTCCCATATCCAACTTGAGGAAAGAAATGCTCTATATTGTCTTTCACTTCTCTTTCCAATTTTAAAGTTTTAGTATAGATTAATAGACAATGCTTTTTACCTTACAGCTTTTTTAATGAGAATTGGTTTATGAATGAACAAATAAACACTATCCATGTTTTTCAGGAACTTCCTGAAGGCAGTTGGTATTGTCCACATTGTACATGCAAGATTTGTGGAGATGTAGTCAAAGATAATGGGGAATCTAGTTCTACACCTTCTGGTGCATTAAAATGTGTGCAGTGTGAACATAAATGTATGATACCAACTAACTCAATTTCTTTGGTTGAGAGTGTATTTGATATTCAATATAATCTTCTGCTCCTTTTTAGCAATTCTGATCTTTATAAATCTTGTTGTTTACCTTTTCTTAGTTCTAAGGCAAGTCCTATATATCCTTGATTAATTACAAACAGATCACGAGGCATGCTTGAAAGAGCATGGGATAGGTGTGGGGGCATCAGAAACCTGGTTTTGTGGTGCAAGTTGTCAGGAGGTAAAAATCATACCCTTTTTACATATTTTATTATTGTTATAACTTAAAAAGGGATTAGAGATAATTCTTTTTCTGCAGTAAGCCTTTAATTTAATTATAAATACAGGTATCTGTCCACTTTGGTATATACTTGTTTCCCATTCAAAATATACAGTATGAAATATAGAGACAGTAAATGTATAAATTCCCTCAATACCATTATATTAAATCATATTAATAAGAAGCCAAGTGAAAACCATATTTGGTCCCATTGGGCATGCATGCCTTTGTCCACGTTTAGACTCAGGGTTTAGAAAAAGTCCCATTAACTATCACTTTCAGTCTCATTTAGGGATGAAAATTGCAATCAACTGGTAAAATTGCATTTGCTGGGTAGTGGGTACAAGGAAAGCACGGAATATACGTTATTTGGTCATGAATATGGTGCTGATAGGGCTCTCTACATATATTTTCTGTAACTGCCCAATTTTTTCAATATGGTCATGTGGGTGCCCACACCAATGATCTGATCTGCACCTTTAAAATAATTATATATCAGTGTGTTATAGGGGGTTCAAACCTCATGGGGAACGATTCTTTAACCATTTGAAGTAGGGTATAAGGTTTTCAGTTCACCTAATGTGAATGTTTCTAATACGTTTTTTCTTAAAATCAGATTAGATCTAAATTTATATATTTAGTGCTATTATTTGTATAATATAATATATATCAATATTATTAGAGAAATGGTTCTAAATAGGACCAAAATATATTTGATATACTTAAATAGGACTTAAATGCTTTTTATACCTAAATAGGACTAAATTTTCGGTGCCTCCCTAAACTACCCCGCATCCTGACACGAGAGAGAATGGGCTGGGAATAGCTCGCTGCACTTCACCACCAATCTACCGATGATCTTCGCCCGGCCAGAGAGTCGATTTTCTCCCTTCCGACCTTGTCCATCCTAACCAGCTAGGTGGTGGCGGGCTTGGTGACTCTGAATTACTGCTGCAGTGGATTATACAAATCGTCTCATCGCCCGGCCGGGGAAGGAACCAGATAATGAGATAACAACGCGCCCCTCTTCTTCAAATTCGTCTCGATTGTGACGCTCTGTTTTCTTTCCTCTTATTCCTCTTATTGTTCGGAGAAGACTTCAGAGTTCAGACCAATTAGTGTCAAAACTTTCAGATTCATTCTAACATGGATTTGGGGGGCTTAGAGTTTGTGGGAGGGAAAGGTTCGAGCATCTGGGATTTTCAAGGTAAAATTAGAGCTTCGATACAGAACTATCCATGGCTGGAGAAAGAAGCTCACCCACTCCTGAGAGGAAGCTGATCAACTGCTCCTCTTTTTTGGATTTAGATGTCATATTTGTTTTTACATCGTGCAGTTGCTGCAGTCAAAATATTATGCTAAATATTAGCATTGTGTGTCAAACATTTTTACAAAATTGACATTACTTAAACATTTAAATTAATTTCAACTTTTTGACGTTTGTGTGGGATTTATATTGTTTTAATATTGTGACATTTTTATATTACTTGACATTGTTTGTATCAATGTCATACGGAGTAATTGTTTACTTAAAGACTGATATATTCACCTTTAGTTATAGAAGTATTATTTTCTAAGAGGATATATAATGTGATATCAAAAGTAACATGTTTTGGATGTTGTAGCATTTTTCTACATTAATTTTAGTAATGACATTATCACACACATTGACATTGGTAATGACATTGTCATAATTATATCATCATTATTTAAAGCATTGATATTATCATAATTATTATTTGATACTAGGACATTTTTTGACATTATATTGTTTTCTATATTTAATTTGGTAATGGTATTGTCATAACTGTCATTGGCATTGGCATTGACATTGTCGGTATTCACTATCATTATTTATAGCATTGACATGTCATTGTCAATACTCCCTCTGTATTTAAAAGATCCCTACACTTTCCTTTTTGGAATGTATTTAAAAGTTTACTATACTTTCCCTTTTTGGTAAGTTTTTCCTTTAAAAATACTCAAGTACCCTTACTTTTTCAACCTTTTTATTTTCTCTTTCCTACTTTTCCATCTTCTCTCCTACTTTTTCTACACTATTCATTACCCCTACTATTTTCCCCTTAAATATTGTGCCAACCCCTAGTGTAGAGATCATTTAAATAAGGAGGGAGTATTTGACATTGTAACATTTTTTCTACCTTTTGAAATGACATTGTCATGTCATTCATTGACATTGTCATTAGCATTGACACTGTCAATATTTATAGCATTGACACTGACATTGTTATGATTTGACATTGTAATTTTTTTACATTTGATAATGGCAGTGTAATGAAACTCATTGACATTGGCATTGACATTGTCATTATTACAATGTAATTATTTATAGCATTGACATTGTCAGTGTAATTATTTGACATTGTAAATATTTGACACAACTTTGGACATTTTATAATATTTTTTAAAATAATTTCCTCTACTTCTTCCAAAACTCAGAGACCTCATACTCCTAAATAATAAAAAACAGAGCCGGCCCTATGACTTCTGGTCCTCTGTGCGAGTGATGGCTTCCCCACCAATCTACCATAAGAAATCCCAATATCCCATACTAATTTCTTTCAAGCTTTGATAGAAGCTCTTCATTTCAAGAAGCTGGTTAGCTGCAAAATAAGATTTTGGCTTGCGTTAATTCACCATTTCAATCCACTTAGCTATATATTAGGATCCTAGTTACATCAGATTAAAAATTTAAAAATAAAAGTTTCAGAACTTCAATATCAAGCAAGACAGGAAGCCGATTGATTCTAAGTAGATGTTAAGGATCATAGCAATCGGTTGCTTTAAGGGAAGAGATACGGCGCTGGAGGATATTACAATACACTACGGCGGCGGCGAGGTGCGCCGCCGCAGCGGCGGATCAACGGCGAGGTGCGCCGCCGCAGTGGCGAGGTGAGGCCAAAGCAGTGACGAGGTGTAACAACGGCGGTGAGGTATGGCAACAGCTGTTGTGTGTGACTGGAGCAAACACTTCGTATGTTCAGCTGCGGTTAAATACTCCGTAGGTTCAAGGGCTTGAGGCTATTTTTGTCCCTGCCCTCAAAAGTAGTCTTACTTACGAATTAAAAAGTTAGAACTCCTATTTAAATACATAAGCTTTGTTTTAGTCTTATTTAGGTCTTTATCCCATATTATTTTTAATGCCATTATTATTGTTGTTGTTACAAAGAATGACAAAATAATACTACGGGCTTTTAAATGGACAAAAATAGGACCAAATTTGAATTTGGACAAATAGATACCATATTTTAATGAATGGTCCAAAGTACCCTTAATATCATAAGTAAACTAACGCTAATTTCTTCTCCTTCTCTCCTTCTGCTCAGTCTTCTCACGCCATTGGTGCGCTGCCGCCACTGACGTGCCGCCAGCGGTCTCCTCGTTGAGCTTGCCATCCCACACACACCTTCATTCTCTTCCTCTCATTCTTGCGATGACCTGCGACGGGAAGGAATGCGGCGGCTTGCGATGGCAAGGAAAGCGATGACCTGTGATGGCGAGAGAGCGTCAACCTGAGATGGCAAGGAAAGTGACAACTTGGGATGGCAATGGTGAGGGAGATTGATGGCCTGTTGATGGTGATGGAGAGAGCGATCAACAACCTGGAGATGGTGATGGGGAGCGATTACTTGGCGATGCCGGCGACCTGGTGATGGTCAATGACACTGTTTTCTTCATCATTTTGGGTCCAGATTCAGAACGGGTAGAATTTCTCATTATGGTGATTGGGGGTTGCGACGGCTAGGGTGGGGCAGGGTTAGGACGCTTGCATGGTGTAAACGGAGAAGTATGGAAATGTTTTCTATATTTCAAATAAGCAAAAGTGCTGAATATATACAGGAGTGTAATAGCTAATCTGGGAAAGTGTATATTCTATACTTAATGACTAGAATCTACATTAATTATGCATATATACTGCTGCTACAGATCTCTAACAGAATCTACTTTGATTGACTGCTGCAATATCTCTAACACTCCTCCTCAAGTTGGAGCGAAGATATTAATCATGCCCAACTTGCTGCAAATAAAATCTATTTGTGATTTACGAAGTGGCTTCGTAAAAATGTCTGCAAGTTGATGTTCAGTCCTGACATGCACCGGTATGATCGATGGAGGGTTTGATTGTTGCCAACCACATGATCTCTGATTAAGTGGCAATCAACTTCAATGTGTTTGGTCCTCTCATGAAACACTTGATTCTTGGCTATATGAATAGCTGACTGGTTATCACAATAAAGCCTCATCAAATTATTAGAATACACTCCAAGCTCTTTGAGTAATCTTTTAACCCATATCATTTCACATGAAACATCTGCCATGGCTCTATATTCTGACTCTGCACTTGATCAAGAGACAATGTGTTGTTTCTTGCTTTTCCAGGACACTGAATTTTCACCAACAAAGACACAATATCCTGTAGTTGACCTTCTAGAAATAGGACAGCCAGCCCAATCTGCATCCGAAAAACCCGATATCCTATCATCTCCTTCTTCTGTGAATGCACCTACTCGACAATGACCCTGATCAAAATAGAGTACTCCTAAGCCTGGTGTGGCTTTGAGATACCTCAAAACACGAAGAGATGCATCCCAATGGCCTGTATATGGATCAGACATGAACTGGCTCAATACACTTACTGGAAATGATATTTCAGGTCGGGTAACTGTTAGATAATTCAGTTTCCTGACTAGTCTCCTGTAACGCTTTGGATCCTTCATAGGACTTCCATCCTTTTCAAGAAGTTTCCCTGTTGTAAGCATTGGGCTGTCCACTGGTTTGCATCCTAGTAAGCCACATTCAGTCAACATATCATGGACATACTTCCGTTGAGATAAAAGAATTCCCCGTGGAGACTGGGAGACTTCTATCCCAACTCTTTAAACTCTAAAATTCCGCTGCTATCGTTTCCAGTGATGCTAATATCATCCACAAACTACAAG